TAGGATCCTGACCCTCCATAGGATCCTGATCCACCCCCGTAGGATCCCGATCCGCCCCCGTAGGACTCGGGCAGTCCGTAGGATCCCGAGTTGTCTCCGTAGGATCCCGAGTCGTCCCCGTAGGAATCCAGGCCCCCGTAGGATCCAGATCCGCCTCCAGCTTGGGATCCGCTGCCTGATCCTGATCCTGATCCCGACCCAGGTCTGCCAGATCCTGATCCAGGTCTGCCAGATCCTGATCCAGGTCTGCCGGATCCTGATCCTGATCCAGGTCTGCCCGATCCAATTCCCCCCTGGGATCCAGGTCTCCCTGATCCAGGTCTGCCTGATCCTGATCCAATTCCCCCCTGGGATCCAGGTCTGCCCGATCCGGATCCAATTCCCCCCTGGGATCCGGGTCTCCCTGATCCAGGTCTCCCTGATCCCGGTCTCCCCACTCCGGGTCTCCCTGATCCCGATCCGCCCCCGTAGGACCCGAGTCCGTAGGATCCCGAATCGCCGGAGGATCCTGATCCCCCCCCATAGGATCCCGAGTTGCCTCCGTAGGATCCAGATCCTCCTCCGTAGGATCCTGAGTTGCCTCCATATGATCCCGATCCTCCATAGGATCCTGATCCACCTCCAGAGGATCCCGGTCTGCCCCCAGAGGATCCGGAGCCTCCGTAGGATCCAGAGTTGCCTCCATAGGACCCGGAGCTTCCAGAGAATCCTGATCCTCCCCCATAGGATCCAGAGTTGCCCCCGTAGGATCCTGATCCCCCATAGGATCCCGATCCTCCTCCAGAGGATCCCGGTCTACCCCCGGAGGATCCGGAGCCTCCATAGGATCCAGAGTTGCCTCCGTAGGACCCGGAGCTTCCAGAGGATCCAGAGTTGCCCCCGTAGGATCCCGATCCTCCTCCAGAGGATCCCGGTCTACCCCCGGAGGATCCGGAGCCTCCGTAGGATCCGGAGCTGCCCCCGTAGGATCCGGGATCTCCGGAATCCGTGTCCGTGTCCCCCCCCCGCTGGGGGCTCAGAATTCCCGGGGGGTCCTTGCAGGGATCGACCCCCGACGGCAGCGGCTCCAGGCGGGACCCGGAGCCGGAGGCGCAGCGGACGGAGGAGGCGGCTGGGGGGACCAGTACGGACCAGTTCAGACCAGTATGGACCAGTAACCCCCATCTCTGCCCCGTCCATCCCAGTCCATCCCAGTTCCTCCCAGTCCATCCCAGTCCATCCCAGTAACCCT